CTGCGAGTCCTCTCTGACAATGATAATTCTGGCCTCATAAATGACACAGAACAGAAAGAACTTGAGTATAAATTCTGTGCATACTAGCATATATTTTATGACTCATTTGGAAATTTATATTGTCAGAATACTAAAATGCTTCATTTAATGCTACATTTTAATGAGATTATTACATTTTTAGTTATGATCTCATTACTTCTCAAAAAACTTTAATTGAATGCCACAAAAAATTTAAGGAAAATGAATTTACAGTGATTCAAATCTCAGAGTTCTACTTGTGGAAAATATTTCAGTAATGAAGTGTAACCAGCACGTTAATAAGCATGGTGTGGACCTGTGATCAAAATGCATCTCTAACTTTTTCTCTAAATATCTCTTTAAACTTTCCTCAGTTTCCACCTATTCTTCCTCTGTCCCTATAAGAAAACTTTTGAAGAGTCTGAATTTTCTACTCACTCTCAGGTGATAAGACAAGTCTACAGTCACTAAAGACTGCCAACAACCTTAAGTCGAAATTTAGGCTTTTTAATTCTCTGCAATAATGAAAAATCTAATCTCAATTTAAACCCTCTTTTCTCTTGAGGTTTGAAACTTGACGTGTGAAAGGGCTGCCTGGTTGCCGTCTCTTGTGCCCCTGCTCACTGTCTCGCCCCTGCCTCTAACTGCTTTTGCACTCCCTCTAGGATGAAACATAGGAAAATTTGGAGAAATAAGGACAGAAAAGGTCTTTCTGGGCTTAATAAGTTCTTCCTTTCTGGTTCTAAAGATGTTTACAGATGAGTTCATTTATTGGGGTGCTCTCAAGGCTCCTTGGAGGTTCCTTGTTAAAACTCTCTGTGTTTCCTTTGACTAAGATAGATGCTTTCTCAGATCCCAAGAATCCACTAGATCCAGGCATCCAGTAAGTCTGCTGAGACTTTTAGTCTTTTGCAGACTTCCTGGAAGAGAATCCAAGTTGATCCCTTTTTGATTGTCTCTGCAGTGTGTTTCATATATGTATGGAAAACACTCACTCATTCTTTAACTCAGCAAACTCTTGGACTGTTCTCAGCACTACACCACTGACTGTCCAGGCTCTTCTGACAAAGCAGCTAAGTCAACCCTTCCCTTGCTTCTGGGGTTCTCAAGAAGACAGCATCCTCTCTGCCTCCCAGTGTTCCCCAGGAGGCTTCTGAAAGCTCTTCTTCCTGTGGTGGGAATTAGTATACATCCACCCTACCCTTCCCCAAAGATGGGTCAGGAGCCTCATAGCATAAAACTACTCTCACCAAAGAAACCTATGTACAGTCTCCCTTCTCACAAAGTCCTCTGTCCAGCCCTCTTTAAAAATTTGGAACAGAATCTCTCTCCATCCCCTTTGTTAACTCTGCATATATGGGCCAGCAGAGTCAGGGGTGAGAAGAGGTCTTGTCTCACAACACTTTGGTTTCTTGATATCTGTCACACTGTGACCTCAAATGAAACTGAAGCCAGTCCATGTTGTGAGTTATGGCAATAGCTTAGTTACTCTGTACATGGGCAAATGCAAGAAAATGAGCAAGAAAATAATGAACTCTGATATCCACATATACATTGTTTTCACTCCTCAGCTTTTGTGATACTTTAGGTTTTCAACATGAACTAAGTCTCCATTGTACGAACACTTCTGTACCGTCCGTAGAGCACTGAATCAATTTTTCAGCTCTTTCCTTAGTGATTTGCATTAGAAGAGAAAGGATATTAAGCTTTCTGACATCTAAGCTTTGGGGCTGCCATTGAGGTTATTTACTTTCAATTATGTATCAAGTGACAGCAACAATGCTGTGCTGTGAATTAAATGGCTTTGATTCTCCATGTAGTGTGAAATCAAAGCTCAAATAGAGATACAACCAGGCATGATAGAGGTGAAATCCAACAGGGGTCCTGCAAATAATGGCATTTAGTTTAAATAGCCACATTTTGAACTTGTACTCTCCCTTTATCCTATTCAGCAAGTAATGACCATTATAACCAAGAACCAAAAGTACTAACACTAGGGGCTACAGGCAAATAAATGGTGCTGTCACCAACATTTAATACAGCCTGTAATTATTTACTTATTTGATTAATTGTTTACTTACCTGTCTTACCAAAATGCATATGCATTGGTCTTTCTTAATCACTATGTATTTCCAAGTTAACTAGAAGAATAATGTCTAGCACAGAGTGAGCATTTGGTCAATATTTGATCAATTAAAATGGGTTGAAAATGAATGAATAAATTAATAAAAAAATAAATTTGGGGGTGAATACTGGAGATAATTCTAGAATGGAGATTTAATGTGTTATGCTTTCCAGTTAATGACCAGCTCTAAATCATCTCAGCACTGATTTTTATTTTTAACTATTACCATAGAATTTTAATACATTCCCAGAGTTTTAAAAAAATAGATTTCACCGTGAATAAAAGTAGAAAGAGCGATCAAAAACAATTAAACAAATACACCTCTCACATTAGCTGGAACACAACATCTAGAGAATAATGTCAGAGAATAATGTCGGGCATGAGTTATCCGTAGTGTAAGGTTCCTAGGGCTGCTGTAACAAAGGACTACAAACTGTGTGGCTTAAGGACAACAGATATTGATTCTCTCACACTTTTGGAGACTAGAAATCCAAAATCAAGGTGTTGGCAGGGTTGATTCTGGAGGCTCTCAATCTGTTCCAGCCTCTCGCCTAGCTTCAGGTATGTAAGCAGCTCTTAGCGTTACTTAGCTGGAAGCTACTTAACTCCAACCTCTGCCTCCATCTTCATTTGTCTTTCTTTTCTCTATGTTTCAAATTCCCTTTCCTTTCTCTTATAAGGACATCAGTCATTGGACTTAGAGCCCACCCTAAATTCAGGATCATCTTACTGGAGATCCTTAATTTAACTACATCTGCAAACACCTTATTTCCCAATAAGACCATAATCATAGTTACTAGGCTTTAAGAAGGACATACCTGTGGGGAGACACAGTTCAGTCTACTGCAGTAACTTCCAGGTATTGGCCAATGGAAGCCAATACTACTGCTCTTGACAACTAGAAATCATTAAGTTCACGTTATTTCCCAGTCTTGGTCTCTGAATCAAGTGCTCTGATTTCTCCACATAGAGGTTCAAATGCATTCCAAATCCCAGACTAATCCAGGCCTTATTTAGTCTTTCCTGTTGGACTGGATCCTGCTTATGAAGTCCTGCCATACTGAGATAATGACCACCTGCCTTTCCAGCCCCCAAGTGCCAACTTCCACCTGCCATCAGACAGGCACTGTGCACGCTAGCTGCCATATCACTTCCTTTAGCAGGAATCTAAATCACGGCAGAGGCCTCAACACTGAGCTTTGCTCACCTGTAGTTTTTTTCCCTGCTCACTTCTATGTTCAACACAGAGGACACATTTCATAGGAGGTAAGCAAACCCCACCTGTCTGTCAGGAAAAACTACAACGTCTTCTGTATTCAGCTGCCCTGAAAGCAACATCCTGCCCTGACGTTTCCTCTTTGCTGAGCTAGGAAGTTGTCTGAAATTCAGCATTAAAGTGTTTGATCCTCAAATGCCTTCTTAGCATTGCTGAGGTGGTGTTCTGCCAATAGACAGAGAAGAGAGCTGGGAGGAATCAGGGAAACAGAAACCTGGGAACTGACTAGAGGAGCCGCTGCCTTTATCAGATATTTCCCTCTACCTGACCTACCTTGAGTCCAGCCACTCTCACCAGTAACTTTCAGTGCCTTTCCCCCAGCTATCTCAATGGGATGGTGAGCATGGAAGAAGGAGAAGGTCACAGTTTCTCAAAAGTGCAATCCATAGTATTTTACTTCATGAATTTCTACTGCAGGCCCTGTAGAAATTTTAGAAAAATAAAAATTGATCTAACACATGTTCTTTGAGGTTTGCAAGAAATAGCCTAACAGATAGGAAATTCAACTGGACATGGTAGGCACCATGTTTTTCTGGAAAATTCCCTGAGCCAGGCAGATGAGACCAGCCACTTTGTCCTGAGCAAGCTACTAGCCTGCTTTGTGAGTTCAGACTATTGGGAACGTAGCTTCCTCCATCAGTATAAACCAGCACAGAGATTAGATCCCTCTGAACTCTAGCATAGTTACAATTGTTAGATAGAATTCAAAAGAAAGATTCATCACAAGAAGAGAAGAGCATTGAAGCAGTCATCTATGCAGTAGCAGTCATTAGTACATGTGCCTAGATGTTGACACCTGGTGCTGTAATGCACATTCTGTCACCTAATTGAACCTTGTATTCATTAAAGTGAAAACTGAGATCCCAAAGGATGGTAGTTTGTCAGATTTTAAAAGTTAATAATTTCAAATCAAATTCTAACTGCTCTTGAAAAATCAGAAACTCTTCAGTACTGAGTATGCATTTCCACAAGGCATTAAACAACTGGAGCTGAATGCAGCTGCCTGCTTTAGATAGGGCACAGGGTTTCCAGTTTGCCACAGTCCCCACCACTCCCTCTTGTCTCCCTGAGGCTGTGGGCTGAAAAACTATGCCCATGCTATTTTTCCCACACTAGGCCTGTTTAGGTACTTACAACACAAACCTGTCCCCTAGAAATCTACAAATTTTCAATGTATAACCTGTGGTGTAATATCCCAAGAGGTCCCCATTTTCTGTGGAAGGATGGATCCTTTAGAACCTTGACTTCTAGAGGGAGGACAGGCCTTGACTGTGAGTCTCTGCTCACTGCACTAGTTACTGAACTGTGGACTTTCACTCAGCCAACACTTAGCCCTCTTCTGAGGTGCCGGGAACCATGTGACTCTAGAATTTCTGTGTCAGCAAAATTGCATCCATGAAGACTTTGGTAGTGCTCTGGAAATAGCAGTATGGGGCTGAGTAACATCAAGAATTTAGGCTTACCTCTTTCATATAGCTTTCTCGTCAACCTGAGCCTCTCCCCCTCTTTTGCTTAAGACAGCCAAAAGGGTAGAAAGGCCTCTAAAGCACCCTGGAAATACACCTCATATCATGTACTTACCTTTGTCCTAATTTGACATTGGATCTCTTCTTCTGTGTTGTAGAGGATGAAGTCCAAGTCCTTTGGGCAGACTGTGGAACAATCCATTTAGGCTTCTGCAGACTTTGGAGGATCAGGCAGGATTGATCGGTTTGCAGTGCAATAATACCTCAAGCTGACCAAGGATAAAGTTCCACCTCTGAAACACAAATTAAATCAATTTTTAGATGTTCCTTAGCTAAATCTTGCTAATAGCAGGCCTTTTGCATTCTCTCAGCTCCCTCATCTGCTTTTGAGATTTCTGCATGCCAGGGCAGAAAAAAAGTAAAAACAATTCCATAATGACTGAAAATGAAACCCAGTTCTTCTCCTACGAGAGACAGAGAGAGAGAGCGTGAGCGAGCAAGGGAGCAATGAAGATGTTACATGTTGGGATAACTGGATACAATATAATCAATTTCTCAAGAATTTACCAAGTTATCATCAAGACTGATGTTCCCCTTCCCTTGTGTGAACATTGGCAGACACTTAAAGTGGTGTACATGTTGTCTAAGTTATGAAGGTTTTGAGGTGAGAGCAATAGAACCACAAGACTTTGTTTGCACAGACAAACTGTATGATGAAGGAAGACAATGTCTAAATGCACTATTTTAATGATCTGTACAGCTTATTCAGCTGATCGAGAGAATATTAGCTTCATAACCTGACAGAAGCATAGGTCACAAAACTGAGAGTTTTAAAACAACTGAAATGGTCTCTGACTTCATCAATATTCCTTTAACCTTTGCTGGGAAAGCTACACAATTCATCACAATCTACAGTTTCCATTAGAATCAGCCTTTACCTTGAGACTTCAGACTCCTGGAACATATCTGACTTTCTCTTCTATTTATTCTAAGTAAACTTTGCTGAAGACAGAGATTATAAAGAGGACCTCCATTTGTTATTGTAATCAAAATTTCATCTAGGTTAACAAATTTCTGACTCAAATATCAACTGTTCCCAGTAGCCTTCCACTGGTCAACTTATCCTTGTGTTAATCTTAATTACTCCATGTGTCAAATTCCAAATACAAAAATATATTCAGCTTAGGTTTTATTTAAAAAAAAAAGCAGTAACCAAATATCAAACCCTAATCAAAGGTACACGTGCAGAAGTGCTTAGGGGTGAAGTCTGAAACTTCTAAGAACACACACACACAAAATAAGATGGATTGACAGATAGCTAGAAGGATGAAGGATATATGTATGATAAAGTAAATACAGCAAAATGTGAATTGCAGAATCTAGGTAGTGGGGATACACAATGTATAATTTTTTCAACATTTCTGTATGTAAAAATGTGAAAGGAAAAATTCTCTTGCGATATGACAGTAAAAGATGAAATAACTGGAGTAATGTGGGCACTGAACAATCAGAACAAAAGCTGGCAGTTCAAACTGGCAGGGACAGGCCAGTTCTCTGCATTGAGTCACCCCTACTAGTTTGAAATCTAGGAACTCTGGAGGATATAAGAGATATAATTACGATACCAGGCCCTGACCTCTGAGAGCTGACACTTTTATGAAGGATAAAGGTTTATACGGTAGCATGGTCAAAAATAAAATTTGCGCAACATGAGTGCATTAGGGTTCTCCAAAGAAACAGAACCAATAGGACATATACAAATATTTTTATAAGAGGAGATTTTTTAAAGGTATTTGTTCACGTGGTTATGCAGGCAAGGAAGTCCCACAATCTGCCATCTGCAAGCTAGAGAACTAGGAAAGCTAGTGGGGTAATTCAATACAAGTCCAGAGGACTGAAAATCGAGAAGTTGATGGTGTTAAGTCTGGTTGAGTCCAAATGCCAAGAACACTGATGTCCAAGAACTTGAGAAGACAGATGCCCCAGTTTGGGCAAAGAGAACAAATTTGCCCTTCCTCCACCTTTTTGTTCTATTCAGGCCTTCAACCAATTGGATGATGACCACCTGCACTGGTGAAGGTGAAATTTTTTTACTAAGTCCACTGATTCAAATGCCAGTCTCTTCTACAGACATCCTCTGAGACATGCCCCAAAATATTTTATCAGCTATCTGGGCATCTCTCAACCAGTCAATCTGACACATAAAATTAACCATCATCATGAGAAAATGAAATTCTTTTGATTTTAATTAATTTGCCATTTCTCCTGAGATCCTAGTTATTGGCAGCAGAATAGAAACAACTTTCATCAGGTTTTTAATTTTATTGTGATCTGACTATTTAAACAGTTCCTTTGTGATAGTACAGCTTTTTTTTAGAGAAATGTTCTGTCTCAGACTTCTTGGTCTTCTCTCCATCTCTCAGGCTCCACTCCAAAATTACATGTCAATATATGTGCAGAGGGAGGGAGGTGCGTGCTTTCCACCACCTCACAGTGGCAAGAATGAGCTAGTCTCTCTGGGCATTGCCCTCTCGCCCTCTGGTCTCCAAGGCAATGCCATCACTTTATTGCTGCCTGCTTTATTTGCATCTGCATCTGAATCCAATAATTATGAGAACTGGGGATCTCTGCTGTGCTTGGTCAGGTCTCCAAAGAGTTCCCTGTGCCAATGGGCCGTACCTTGACTTCCAGCTGCCCCTTAGACCCTGCAGTGGAACCTGCAGTGACTAATTTCACCTCTGCACAGAGGAACCAACTGCTGACCAGGAAAGTTCAACTTCAAAACCTCCTCTTGCCTAAGCAAACGACGATGCCAAACTGCCTTTACCACGAGGTAATGCATTGACCCCCAGGCAGGTAGAACATCTTGTGAGACCTCCTTCCAGAGGCTCTCCCTTTTCCATCAAGTTTCCCCTTCTGCAGTCTTTAGCCTTGAAGGATTTGTGAGGAGGCCAGGTATTGGCGCCACATGCTTTATTACTTTCCTTCAGTTTTTCTTCTCCCAGCAATAACAGTGTATTATTTCCTATCACTACTGTAACAAATTACCGCACACATAGTGGCTTTAAACACCCCTAAATTATCTCATCGTTCTATAGATCAGAAGGCTGGGCACAGTGTGGCTCAGTGCAGACTTCTACTTAGAGTCTTACAAGGACTAAGTACGGGTATTGTACACAGCTACAAGTCCTGTGTTCTCTGCTGGAGGCTCTGGGAAAAACCTACTTCCAAGCCCTTTCAGGTCATTGGATAAAAGCAGTTCCTTGTTGTTGTAGGACTGAGGTCCTTGCTGGCTATCAGCAGGGATGATTCTTTGCTTCCACACACTGCCTGCATTCCTTCTCATGGGTTCCATGTGACCTCCTTTCATCAACAGCAGAAGGAGAACTGCTCTCACACTTCAAATCGCTTCCTCTTCTACTGCATCTCTCTGCCTTCCCTTCTGCTTCTAGCCAGGGAGAGTTCTCTGCTTTTACAGGCTCATGGGATGAAACTGAACCCACCTGGTTAATCCAGGATAATCTCCCAATTTTAAGGGCTAAAACATATTCATATTTCTAGGGATTAGTGTTTGGACATTGTTGGGGTGCTTTATGATTTCCTTTTCCTGTATGGACCTCCCTTAGGTTAAACACTTTGATCTAATTACCTAGCTTACTATTTATATATTACATGAAAGCCCCCCCAAAAATTGCTATAGCAGTTTTGACCTATTGTACAGATAGGAAAATTAAGGCTCATAGAATTTAACGGCCTTGTTCCCACACTCTGAATGTTCAGTGTCACTGATGAATCATATAAACAATACACACACTAATTTTTTCCACATTCTCCCTCTGGTATGTGGAGTTATTTTTTCAGTTCTGACATCTGGAGACAGCCCCCAGGAACTATGATGTCTATTTTTAACACTGTGGTACTAGATCAGTCTGGTTAAGCAACAGGGGCTTATGGCAAGCACTGGCTTCTCGGGTTCCCACTGTGTCTATGGTGCTGAGGTACCTGGGGACCCAGAAAATCTCTATGATGAACATCAAAGAGTAAAGAGAAGAAAAAGAAGTCATTTTAGAGAAGGCAGGAAGGATTGTCACAAATCCAACTGTTTGCTTCATTTCTTTTTACTTTAATAGAGAGGCATGCTATGCACCACAAGAGGCTGAATTTAGAAGCATGAGTCGGGGTTTATGCAATTTATCTCCAAACCTATTTTATACTATTACAAGAGTCAGGCAATATGCAGAGAAATGTGAACAATTTAGACAATACAGCAAAATGTGCCATTTGGTCTCATTTATCATAATAGGAATTTAAAAGGATACTCATGAGCCATTTAGAACCTATGAGTCAGTTGAGCAGAACAAGTGGTTTTGCATAAGATCTACCCATAAATCATTCGGTGCCTGTTGCATCATTAAAAGGAAATACTAAAAAACAAAACAAACAAACAAAAACCAAAAACCTGTAAGAGTCATAACAATTAACTTCTCAGAAAAACAATTTCACTACTGCTTAAAGGGCTTGTAAGTTCAGGAGGGCCATTTTTATTTTGAATTCCAATCCCCCTGGGATACGAAGGTGCATTTTCCCTCAGTTTATATGAAACCTGCTGGGCCACCTCCATCCTCCTGGGTAACAGTCTCCAGCTACAGTATGTTCACCAACTCTAGGCACTCTGTCCAGCAGAAGAGAGAAACTGCCCACAGCCAATTCTAAGACACGAACACTGAACACAGAGCAAGAACAAAAGGAAGGGTCAGCTTTGTGCAGCGGGCTGTTCTGCACACTGGCACACGTGAAAACCAGATCTAGCCTCCTGCTCACAGGCATCAAGCCTGCTCACAGGCATCCTGGACGAACATAGCACAAAGGGATTCACACACGCCCCTCACAGTAGACACCAGAACAACAGACTGGGGTCTCTCTTTTCCTTTTTTTTTTTAAATTGAAGTATAGTCAGTTACAGTGTGTCAATTTCTGGCGTACAGCATGTTTCAGTCACACATATACATACATATATTCGTTTTCATATACTTTTTCATTATAGGTTACTACATGATATTGAATACAGTTCCCTGTGCTATACAGAAGAAATTTTTTTTAAGTCTATTTTATATGTAGTAGTTAATATTAGCAATTCTTGAACTCCCAATTTATCCTTTCCCAACCTTTTCCTCCCTGGTAACCACAGGTTTGTTTACTATATCTGTGAGTCTGTTTCTGTTTTATAGATAAGTTCACTAGTGTCTTCTTTTTTCTTTCTTTTTTTTTTTTAAATTCCGCATATAAGTGATAC